CTGTTAGCCCGGAAATTTTTATCCCTCCCACTGCACAAGCATTTCTTGACTAAATGTACTAATTATTGCTACGTTTCGTCAACTTTAGCGTTAAATCATCATCTTTTTTCGGGCTTAGGTAATATAAGGTGAAATAGAGTAGAGTCAGGGCAAGCACTGTCTATGGCACACTCGCTGTAGTGAAGTGAACAGTTCCGGTGTGCGTTGCGGAAGAAGCTACTGATGTTGATGTCATTTTCATATTGTTGTCCAGAAAAGTACAAGTTATGCATCATACATATTAGCTCAAGGTTCCAGCATAGTCAGACCGAGAAAATCAAAAAAAACGGTCACTAACCCGTACTGAGGGCTTTTGATCTTGACAAGCCCAACCTTTACTTCTGTCCAGTTTGCACGTTTCTCTTGCAACCGGATAACGCTCTTGGAAAAGTGGCGATCCCTCAGTGATGGGAAGTTGCGAAAAGGTTGTCGAGATGTCTGAAACAATATCTATCGACTCTATGCTTACTTGTGGTCGGACACCCTTTCATTATGATCACCACTTTGCGGAGGTGTTCTGGGGGCAAGTAGTGCCAATTATTAATTTCCGATGGCAAATAACGCATGGTTCAAAACCCTGTTCGCTCAGGATTATTCAACGATTCCCGGGTGTTTTACTTTCACTGGAACCCTTCGAGACCCTGCCCGACCCCATCGACATTCTATGGGCCAAATCGCATGCCAATACAATCAGGAATCAAAGCAGAATGCATAGCGCATCCCGTGCAGGGATTATGATTGTGTTGAGGGATTGGTTATGTCGACTGTTCTGTAGTTTACGCTTCAATCATTGCTGTCAAGTACTGAACCCTAGTGTCAATTGGCACACAACGGTTGAGAGTGTCTCACTTATCAACAGTGTTTTCTATGGCGCATTTTTGCCTTTTTGCCCAATATCTTTCCACAGTGTTTTTTTCTAGCATTTTCTAGCATGTTTTTTTTTTCCGTTATCAAGCAAAATAACACACCAACTCGATGCCGACCTGTGCCTATAACTCTGCTCCACTGGTATACTTGACCATGGCTTACTCGGAGGTAATAGTTACCCACTTGTCTTCTCTTTCTTTTCTTTTTCGCCCTTTCATATCATTCGGTAGTTTACTCACTGTTTTTTCCGCAAGTGATGTATTTGTTTCCTTCCTTTCTCTTGCGCGTATTCGCTATTTCTTTACCGGTTTTGGTATCTACACAGTAACAGAACTCCTGCCTCGCGTCACATTGCAATTCTTCGTAATCGCCTGAAAAAAAGACTGTAAGAAAAAGTTTCTGAAAGCTACTATGCGTAATCTTCTTCTGATAATCATAGCATAATCTAATCTGAAATCATTCCGAGCGTTAGCGAACGAAAGTACGAAAAAAAAAAGTAGTATTAAAGACCTTATCCAAAACAAATAAAAAATCCGTTAGAATTAGTAAACAATGAATTAACCTCATACCCAGAATAACATCGCATTTTGGCACGAAGTTCCAGGAGGCACATCCCCACCATGTAGAGATCTCTCAATGCGTTGTGGCACTCTAAACATGTATCGTTCACGAAAAATGAAGTAGAACGAAATGAAAAAAAAAATTTGATCGACATATCCTAGGGCGGAAGTGGTGTAGTGACAAGTGGCGCGCTTACCACGCGAGCGGTCCGGGATCAAATCCTGGGTCGTGAGTCGCCCGGGCCAACCAAGCCTTCCATCCCTCCGGGGTCGGTTAATTGGTACCAGACTTGTCTGGGAGGATAAAAACACTGACTTGTACATCGGCTGGCCCCCGCAAGTCATTGTATAGGCCACATCGCATTCAAACGCCACTACGAATGTACAAATGGAAGTAGAATGCGTGCCGCATCCCAAAAGGGATTGATCAACGGCAAATGCTTTATCCTTTTTATCCTTATTTACCTTTCCAAGAAAAGATATGTTTGGCCTATCATAGATGTATGCACTCACTCAAGTAGGGTAAGCCCAAACATGTATAGCGAATGACTGATTGGCTGGTGCTCTTTGAGAGTGTGATGATTCCCACTATCGTCCAACACCAATGAGCGCAATTTCTACTTTTCCGACTCACTTCTAACTTATTTTGAATATTTCCTGCCTTTTTTTAGAAATGTTAGTTACAAAATAGATTAGATCCTCACATGTCTCGTTTAATTACACGGACATATGCAAAGGAAGGTGCCAGGGATATTTTAACAGATTCTCTTCCTAGCTTTTGTTAGATTTAGATAGCATAAGGAAGAGCAGAGTTTGTCTAGAGGTAAAACTTAGGAATGGTACACCTCGAAGGGACTCAAGGCAAGACCCAGAAAACCTGCTGCTTAATCTTTTTGCGGTAGGACGTAGCCAGTGATCCTGACTACCGGCCATGGACGGTAGTCGCACGTGCCATCTCGTACGGGGTGCTTTTCCTTCTATTCTCGCTTCGCCGGGTGCTGATTATTTGCTAATTATTTGAATTTCGGCTCATTGAACAAATGAGACATGTACGAATCAAATGTTCTGACCATCTTCCAATGAAGCGCCAACTTACTTGAGCATTTCGGCAAAGTCATGTTATTTGCTGTGCGCGTATCGAAAGCTACGAGGCCGTTGTTAGCAGCTACACAAAAGCAGCCCCGAGCATCACATTGGACAGTCTCGTAGTATCCTAAAATCAATTTTCATTGAAATATGACCGAATAAGAAAGATCTTAAGTTTAAAGAAGTAGCGATAGCAGGGCTTGACAGGAAATGAAAAAGGCCGTAAGGGTGAAG